GCCTTCCGATCCTGCTCAATCCCCCCAGGTCTCGATCGAGGGCAGCAGTGTGAGCTCGCCCCTGAGAACAAATGCAAGATAATTTGACCTCGTTGGGTCAATGTTAGGCTCTAAGGCATAATATGAATCGAGATCTTCCTTTTCCCAGGGAAAGTCCTGGCCATAACGTCCAACAATAAGAACCCCCAGGGGTGGTGCGCAATAGGTTACTTATACATAATCAAGGACTCTTGTAATTTTATTGTTCTTTAGGGGACATTTAAAAAAAATTATAAGGTATTTATAAAGTCTATACTTTTGTATGTAGTTAAGGGGCTTGGGAAAATTTACCTACATTTTGAGAATTTTGGCGTCATTTTAAAAATTTTTCCTTTCTCAATCTGTACGTAATAATGAAAATCTGACTTCCTTATCTATGTTTAAGGAACACTTTTGGAAGGTTTTGTTAATTATATTTAGAATGTTGGGTTATTTCTTCTTCTTTTTTTTTTTTTTTTTTTGGTGTTTATGTGGTGTTGCGGGTTGAACCCAAGGCCTTGTGCATGTGAGGCAAGCACTCCACCAACTGAGTTATATCCTTAACCCTGTTGGGTTATTTTCACCATCCAAAGTAGTAAGGTTGAGGTAGTAGGAAAAACTTTGGGTTGCATTTGAATCCAGAGCGTTAGTTCTTTTATTTTTCTTTGTTTTTGCAGTACTGGGGATTGACCCAGGGCCTCACACATGCTAGGCATGTTAAGGCATGCCAGGCAAATATTCCAGTAGACAAGCTACATCCCCAGATCAGGAGCTGTAGTTTGTATAAACTGTGAAAACGGTTGGCAGTCATCTCTTAAAGAATTCCAACATGCCCCTGTAATCCCAGCTACTAGGGAGGCTGAGGCAGGAGGATCAAAATGCCTCAGCAATTTAGCCAGGCCCTAAGCAACTAAGTTAGACTCGGTTTCAAAATAAAAAATAAAAAGGGCTGGGGGATGTAGCTCAGTGGTAAATTGCCCCGGGTTAAATCCCCAGTTACCCCTTCCCACAAAAAATATTACAAAAAGCACTGAATATACATATCAGTTTAAACTATAGTAGATCCATATTTTCAAACAGAATAATTCAAGTGAAAGCCCACATCTGCAGTTATTATAATTTTAGGATTATATAATAGTACATTTGCAATGAATTGTGCATAGTTCAGAGATCACTTTTCCCACTTTTTTCTAAATTGAAATTATCATCTTTTCTCTTTTTCCAATATCTTTTGACTTCTCATTTCTTTCTTAGATGTTAGTGGTTTTTCTGGGTCCTGTGTCCAACTGTCAAATATTCAACTTCCAGTATTTCTTTAATCTTGGCTTCCTTCCCTCATGTTACTAAATAACCATTTCTTTACATTTTCAAAAATTTACCATTCCTATGCCAGGCACAGTGGTGCATGCCTATAATCCCAGCAGCTTGGGAGGCTGAGACAGGAGGATTATAAGTGGAAAGCCAGTCTCAGCAACTTGGTGAGGCCCCAAGCTACTCAATGAGACCCTGTCTCAAAAATCAAAAATAAAAAGTACTCAGGCTGGGTCATGGCTCAGTGGTAGAGTGCTTGCCTAGCATGCATGAGGCACTGGGTTCAATCCTCAGCACCACATAAATGTAAAATAAAGATATTGTGTCCACCTAAAAAAGTATTGAGGATGTGGCTCAATTGTTAAGTGTCCCTGGGTTCAATTCTTGGTTCAGTAAATAAATAAATAAAATAAAATAAATTTCACCATTCCTGCTAAAATATGTGCCTTAGTATTATCTCTAACAACATATAAACCAAAACCATGTGAGGTATACATTGTAAAGTAGTAATGAAAAATAATAAATCTAGTGTAGTACCCTAATCTTAATCTGAAATAACAGTATAGTTAACATTAGTGTGATCTATTAATATGTGACTGTGAAAGTCTAATGCCAAGGAGAAAAATCATTAATGAATATTTCTTTTTCTAATGAGTTTATTTCTTTTGGTACTAGGGATTAACCCCAGGGGTGTTTCACTACTGAGCCACATCTCCAAACACTTTTTATTTTTGATTTAAGGACAGAGTCTCACTAAATTGCGTAGGGCCTCACTAAGTTGCTGAGGCTGGCTTTAAACTTGCAATCCTCCTGTCTCAGCCTCTGGAGCCACTAGGATTACAGGTGTGGCCCACCATCATCAGTATTAATGAATGTTTTTAATAAATAAGAAAGCAAGGTATTTGCATTGCTCTATTGTATGTGATTGATTTTCATTAGCACTTCTTACCTTGTTGGTTACAAACAGGGACAGGATATCAAGATAATTTTTTTTTTTTCACATGTATATCACTGGCTAACAGTGCTAGGAAAATTTGATGAGACAAAAGAATTTGTGAAAGGAGATGCTAGTAATAAAAACATTATAGAAAAGGCTTTTGTGGACAGAGATTTCATTATTTATATTTCTAGGAAAATTTTGGTTGGTCTAGATTCTTTGATTAAAATTATCAAAGCTGAAAATGAGACAACTAGAAAACTCTTAATGAGGGAATAATCTTTTTTTTTTTTTTTTTTAGAAAGTTATATCTATAAGGAGTAGTAAAACAAGATTTAGGAAGGCTAATCCAGAAGACTTTTTTTCCACTTAAAAATAAAAGTGTTGGATTGTGACAAGTAACTAAAAGCTAGAACTTTTTTTTTAAATCTTTTTTTAAAAGTCTATGTATTTTTTTTTTTTTTTAGTTGTCAATGGGCCTTTATTTTATTTATTTATTTATATGTGGTGCTAAGAATTGAACCAGGGCCTCACACATGCCAGGCAAACACTCCACCAACTGAGCTATAACCCCAGTCCTTAGAACTATGTTTTACAATGAAGTAAAAGACAAACAATCGTTATCTAAGTTTGCCTTTAATTGCTTCCCAGTTGTTTTATTTATTTGTTTGTTTGTTTATTTATTTATTTTTGTGGTACTAGGGACTGAACCCAAGGCCTGTGCATGTTAGGCAAGCTGTCTACCAAAGAGCTACAACCAGTCCCCCTCCCCCACTTTTTCTTCATTTGAGATGGTCTTGCTAAGTTCTCCAAGCTGGCCTTGAATTTGCCATCTTCCAGTCTCAGCCTCCTGAGTAGCTGGATTGTGCATACTCCACAGTGCTTCATTTAGAACTAGATGTGTAGTAATTTTTCAAATACTCATTAATAGGTTGGTTTAAGAAGCTGAGGAGTGACTTTTAACTTGAGAGATGTAAATATCTAGTAGTTAATAAACGTTTTTTAGACTGGCATATTGGCATATCCTTGTAATCCCAGTGACTTGGAAGGGAGGCTTGAGAAGGAATATGGCAAATTGGAGGCCAGCCTCAACAATTTAGAGAGATATCATCTTGAAAAATAAAGTACTTACCGGTGTTGGAGCTCATCAGTAAAATGCCTCTGGGTTTAATTCCCAGTACAAAGAAAAAAAAAATTTTTTTTTTGTTTTAGCTCAGCGGTAGAATGCTTGCCTAGCATATGTGAGGGAGGCCCTGGGTTCAATCCTCAGCACCACCATCAAAACAAATAGACAAATGCTTTTTTCAATCCCCAGCATCAGAAAACAAAACAGCAGCAAAAAGTGTTTCTTTTCTTAAAGAAATATTTCCTAGGGCTTGCCATTCGCAAATGCCAAAGCTGAACAGCTGATGCCCACGTTTAGTCCCAGCTACTAGAGAAGCTGTGAAACAAGGATCGCTTGAGCCCAGGAGTTGGCGGCCTGCTTGGGCAGGTCTTAAACAGAAAAACAATGACCAAAATAACACATATGTGGGCGTGCACACACATACACACACACACATTCCCAAGGGCCAAATCTCATCCAATCTCACACTATATTTAATGCTAAAATGCAGATACAATCAATAGGATAGAAAAGTAGAAAATAAAGGCATTAATAGGCTAGGTCATTTTTGAAAAGCAGTGGTTTCACAGCAAGTGTTAAGAACAGAATACTGGGTGGATAAATTTGCTGATGCTGTAGATCTTAGTCTGTACGTGAGATCATGTGGAAATTTGAATTTAAAAGATTCTTTAAAGTTTTTCATGTTTGCAATCAAATGACTGTACACTTTAAAAAATGTACCACGGGAGTAGACAGACACACACACACGCACACTCTCTCTCTCTCTTTTAGGATCTTCTTATTGCAACAAGACTAGATTTACAAGTAAAGCTAACTGTAGGATTAAAAGTCTATTCTAAACTGAAATAGTGGACATCAGGAGTGCCCCAGGAGGTGAAGTACATTCCAGGCTTCGATAAAAACAGCTGGTTCTGAATGGAACAAACCAAGAAGCCAGTTAGGGAGCAGACTGGTTGCGCTCAGGGCCACCGAGCTGAAAGCCCTCCAGGATTCCTGAGCCGTGAAGGCAGCCCCCAACCCTGGCCCTGGCCCTCTGCCCCAAGTCCCTCGGGTCCAGGGAGCAGGAGCACGGAAGGCGGGGGCGGAGGAGGAGCCAGTCCTGGACCCCGGAGCGACCCGCGGGGGAAGCGGCTCTAGGGGCTTGTCCCAGGCGAGCTAGAAGGCGAGGCTGAGTACGCTGGGTGGATTGCAAGGTGAAGGGATAGCCCAATCTCCATATGACCTTTGAGGTTAAGCCAGGAATGGTACAGGGAAGATTCTGGACATCCCCTCCTGACAGCCTCCTCTCTGCCCCACCCGCCGGCTAAAGCGGAGAGTAATTCATACAAAAGGGGGACTTGCCTCTGCCTAAGGGAATCCCAGGGACCGTCGTTAAACTCCCATTAACCTAGATGCGAGACGGATCGCCTCCGTCCCCGCCCCCAGCCTCTGGCTCTCAGCATCAGCGGGATCTAGAGGAGCATGCGCGGGGAGCTGTGTGCGGTGAGTGGGCTGAGTGCACCTCGCCCACAGTCCCCGAGAAGTGGTGGGGGGAGGGGATGGCAATTGAACCGGTGCCTAGTGGAGGTGGCGCGGGGTAAGCTGGGAAAGTGGTGTCGTGTGCTGACTCCGCCCTTTTCCTCGAGGGTGGGGGAGAACGGTATATAAGTGCCGTAGTTGCCCTGAACGTTCTTTTTCGCAACGGGTTTGCCGCCAGAACACAGGTGAGCTCCGGGTGTGGCTTCCGCGGGCCTGGCCGCCCTGAGTGGGCTGAGGCCCTCGCGTGCTTTCTTTACCGCCAAGCTACTGGGCCACTTTACGAGGTTCTTACCCCGAATTTTGGGTTATTTGGGGGTTGGGAGAGTTCGAGGTCTTGATTTTTTTTCAAGAATCCCTTCGCCTCGTGCTTGGGTTGAGGCCTGGCTGGGGCGCCCGGGCCGCCGCGTGCGAATGCGATCGCACCTTAGCGTCCGCCAGCTGCCCAGTTTTAGGGCTTAAGTTTCCACGTGAGTCGTTGGGGCCCTTTTGTCTGCCGAGACGGTCCTGCCGGTCCTGTGTGGGTCCGAGTCTCCACGGGCTCGTCGTCTGGTTCTTGGTTGTGGGGCGGCGGCGGGGCCCGACCGTCGGGCGCACATGTCCAGCCCGGCCTCGGGGAGGCGAGGCGGGGCCCTGCGAGGCGGCAGTCGTGGGCTCGGAGGAACGGGCCGGTCGGGCCGGGTGCCCGGCCTCTGGCTCATGTCGCCCCACCCTGGGCGACGAGGCCGGCCCGCTCGGCACCAGTTGCGTGCGCGGAAAGATGGCCGCTCCGGCCCTGTTGCAGGGAGCTCAAAATGGAGGACGCGGCGGCCCGGGAGAGCGGGCGGGTGAGTCACCCACACAAAGGAAAAGGGCCTTTCCCTCCTCGGCCGCTGCTTCCTGTGACCCCACAGCGTACCGGGCGCCGTCCAGGCACCTCTATTTTGTCTCCCAGCCTTTGGAACTCAGCTTCTTTCGGCTGGGGGAGGGGACTTCTGCGCGATGGAGTTTCCTCACACTTAGTGGGTGGAGACTGAAGAGTTAGGCCATCCTGGCACTGGATGTAATTCTCCCTGGAATTTGCCCTTTTGAGTTTGGACCAAGGGTTACCCTCAACCTTCTCGGACAGTAGTTCAAAGGTGCTGTTTTTAATCCTTAAATATCATTTTAGGTGTCGTGAAAACCACCGCTAAATCAAAGCCAAAATGGGAAAGGAAAAGACTCACATCAACATCGTCGTCATTGGACACGTAGATTCGGGCAAGTCTACCACTACTGGCCATCTGATCTACAAATGTGGTGGGATCGACAAAAGAACCATTGAAAAATTTGAGAAGGAAGCTGCTGAGGCAAGTACAATAGCGATAAGGGAAAATGTTAAAATACGGTTAGAAGTGATGCAGAAGTGGAGTAAAATTTTCTTTTTTGGTTAAAGTTCTTAATTGCTTAGCTCTGTTCTGACGGTGTAGAGTCAACAAAGGCTATAGATTGTAAAACGGAACCATTTGTGCAAAATAGTGGGGGCATGGAATTTCAACTTAAGTAACTCTTCTAAATCATTACAGATGGGAAAGGGCTCCTTCAAGTATGCCTGGGTCTTGGATAAACTGAAAGCTGAACGTGAGCGTGGTATCACCATTGACATCTCCCTGTGGAAATTTGAGACCAGCAAGTATTATGTGACTATCATTGATGCCCCAGGACACAGAGACTTTATCAAAAACATGATTACAGGGACATCTCAGGTATGTGGGATGAAACAACTAAATGACTAAAAAACTAGAACCTGGGGTCTTAGATTGTGTGAGGACAAATTTTTTGTTAACGTGTTTTATTTTCCAAAGGCTGACTGTGCTGTCCTGATTGTTGCTGCTGGTGTCGGTGAATTTGAAGCTGGTATCTCCAAGAATGGGCAGACCCGTGAGCATGCCCTTCTGGCCTACACACTGGGTGTGAAACAACTAATCGTTGGTGTTAACAAAATGGATTCCACTGAGCCACCCTACAGTCAGAAGAGATATGAGGAAATTGTCAAGGAAGTCAGCACCTACATTAAGAAAATTGGCTACAACCCCGACACAGTAGCATTTGTGCCAATTTCTGGTTGGAATGGTGATAACATGTTGGAGCCAAGTGCTAATGTAAGTGATTTTTTTCCAAGACATTTTTTTAAAAGAAAACTTAGTGGCAAGTTGATAGTAACAATAATTGGCAATTTTGTGTTTTAGATGCCTTGGTTCAAGGGGTGGAAAGTCACCCGTAAAGATGGCAGTGCCAGTGGAACCACATTGCTTGAAGCTTTAGACTGCATCCTGCCACCAACTCGTCCAACTGACAAGCCTTTGCGTCTGCCCCTCCAGGATGTCTACAAAATTGGTGGTAAGTTGGATGTTAATAGTTTCTGGTAGGCACAATACCTTTGCCTTTTCAGGCAGAATGTATTTGATACTATGCTATAACTTTAGGTATTGGTACTGTCCCTGTGGGCCGAGTGGAGACTGGAGTTCTCAAGCCTGGCATGGTGGTCACCTTTGCTCCAGTCAATGTCACAACTGAAGTAAAGTCTGTTGAAATGCACCATGAAGCTCTGAGTGAAGCTCTTCCTGGAGACAACGTGGGCTTCAATGTCAAGAACGTGTCTGTCAAAGATGTTCGCCGTGGCAATGTTGCTGGTGACAGCAAAAATGACCCACCAATGGAAGCAGCTGGTTTCACTGCTCAGGTAACAAAGATAAAAATGTGGCATTTCTATCCTGATTAGAGCCTGAAGTCTTTTGAGATGCATTAAATTACATTATCTTCCCCCCAAGGTGATTATCCTGAACCATCCAGGCCAAATCAGTGCTGGCTATGCTCCTGTACTGGATTGTCACACAGCTCACATTGCTTGCAAGTTTGCCGAGCTGAAAGAAAAGATTGATCGCCGGTCTGGTAAGAAGCTGGAAGATGGCCCTAAATTCTTGAAATCTGGTGATGCTGCCATCGTTGACATGGTTCCAGGAAAGCCCATGTGTGTTGAGAGCTTCTCTGACTATCCTCCTCTGGGTAAGAAAGACCTAAGAACAATTAGAAAAATTGCAATAGAAAACACAAATTGCTCCTTTGTGTTTCTCATGGGTAATACCAAATTTCTTTTACAGGTCGTTTCGCTGTTCGTGATATGAGGCAGACAGTTGCTGTGGGTGTCATCAAAGCAGTGGACAAGAAGGCTGCTGGAGCTGGCAAGGTCACCAAGTCTGCCCAGAAAGCTCAGAAGGCTAAATGAATATTACCCCTAATACCTGCCACCCCAGTCTTAATCAGTGGTGGAAGAACGGTCTCAGAACTGTTTGTCTCAATTGGCCATTTAAGTTTAATAGTAAAAGACTGGTTAATGATAACAATGCATCGTAAAACCTTCAGAAGGAAAGGAAAATGTTTTGTGGACCATTTTGTTTTTTTGTGTGTGGCAGTTTTAAGTTATTAGTTTTTAAAATCAGTACTTTTTAATGGAAACAACTTGACCAAAAATCTGTCACAGAATTTTGAGACCCATTAAAACAAAGTTTAATGAGAAACCTGTGTCTTCTTTGGTCAACATGAACTTATACAAATGTTAGGCAAGAGTTCCTCAACCTATTTGTGGTGTTGAGAATCTGTTAACTTTATAAGTATGATTAAGTTTTCTGGTTGGGAATTAAGAAGGGAAACTGGGAGGGATCTTCTAGTACCTAGTGAATATCTGGGAGGGGTGTATTGATTACATCACTTGGTTAGGGTAGAAAAATAACTTTGTAATTTACTTTAGAGGACCAAATCCTGTAATATTAAAGGCTGTTACTTCTGAAATTTTGTGTAGCTCCATTAATACTGAATAATATATCGATAATCTTTTTAAGTTTTCTATTGAAATGTGCTTTACATTTGTAAGCATTGGAGTAGTTAAGTGAGGATTATTAAATAGTACGAAGAACTGGATTTTCAATAGGAAATTTTATCTAAGGAGCAAGGTTGGATAACATTAACAGGCCAAAGACTAACCCACAGTTTGAAGAGGCACAGTTATAAATCTGAGTAGGGTGAGCTTCCTTCAATAAGGTGATACAATAAGGTGATACGGGCTTGGACAGGGTAATTGGTAATACTGGCAGTGCAAATGGGTAGGTAGGAAAAAAGCCTCTTCAGCTGTCACTGTTGATCCATTTAAATTTCTAGTTTTGATCTGTTGGTAAATGTGAGCATTTGAATATTTGAAACACTTGCCATGAACTTTTAACTGTAAACCTGTACATAGAATTTTTTAACAGTACATGTAGTTTTTAACAGTAATCCTGAATATGGAAGAGTATCTCCTAAAAGATATTCTTGGGCTGGGGATACTGAATTGTAGAACATGAGCTTGGCATATATGAGGCCCTAAGTAATATCAGCACTGCAAAATTATGAATTGGGGTTGTAAACTCCAAGCTACTGCACATGTTGGGCGACCTTTGGGCTAAATATCCCTACCCCTATTGAAGACAAGTTGGTGATCATTCTTAAGCCTCATAAGTAGCTAGTTATTCAAAAACAGCCACCATGTCCTATAAAGTTTTGGTTCCAGCCTGGAAAGATGGACAAGATTACATAAGATGTAAATTTTATAAGGCTCATCTATGTATGGCCGGTGGGTTTTAAATTCTGATTCAAAACACTTGTGTCTGGTAAACTGTCTTAGGTCAGTTTAAAGGGTTATTACCCTGTTGAGGTGCCAGGACCATAAACATCCTACTACTTGTCTGGTAGAAATGGAATAAACCTGAGTTAGAAGGTGAGAAAAATGTCAACTTGGTACAGTGAGATAGGCTTTGAGCACTCAAAGTTGTCTTCAGTTTCATAGGGTTTGATTTGCTGGTTTATAGATGTTTGACCAATAAATGACAACCAATAAAATGAGATTCATCAAGTGAGGACTTACACTCCCCAAGACAGCCACCTGGAAAATCTGCCACCATAGAGATAGGAAGGAGAGAGGAGTAAACCAGTCAGCTTTGGTTTAGCCAGTTGTATACTGAGGTTCACTTCCTCTGAAACCCTCTATGTGAATGTGTAAGATAATTACTTGGTTTGAGCACCATCTACTGGCAGTTGATAAAGTAGCATACTTTTTCTACATTAAAATAAAGCTGAAATTTGCCCCCAGAGAATTTGGTATGATTTTAGAATATGAAATGTGAGGATGTTTTGGTTTGGGAGTTAACATGATTGCCATTAAGGCACACCTCCTTTGTTTATGTAATTTTTTTTGGCAGTACTATGGCTCTACGTGTGCTTTACCACTTTTTCTTACATGCCCTACCAACCCTTAAGTTTGATTCAATTCCCAGCACCAAAAAAAAAAAAAAAAAAAAAGTTTGAGACAGTTTTAGGAAAGTTGCCCAGGCTTGAACTTGATCATTCTGCTATAGTAGGAGATCCAAAATTACTTGGGTTTTGCCTTATAAATATGTGCATCAGGTCTCAATTACGACCAAAGAACTCTGCTTGTTCTGCGGGCCACAATTTTGACCGCTTATGTCAGAATTTAAAGCACTGAAGGGGGCTGGGTTTGGTAGTGCTGAAGGAGGTTTTTAATGTTTTTTTTTTCCCTTTGTTTTATATATAATATATATAAAACAAACAAATATATAACATATATATATAAATATGTATATATATATATATAAATATGTATGTGTATATATATATATTATAATTTGGTACTGGCAATTGAACCCAGGGGTACATCTCCAGCCCTTTTTAATTTAGAGATGCTAAGTGCCTTGCTAAACTGCTGAGGCTGCCTTTGAACTCATGATCCTCCTGCCTCAGCCTCCCTAGTTGCTGGGATTAGAGGTGTGCACCACTGTTCCTGACTTGTTAACATGATCTTAATGTTTCAAACAAGATTTTAAGGGAGTATTACTACTTTCACTGTGGTAATTCTAAAATGTTTTGTCCCTTATTCTGATTATTTGCAGCTTCAAAAACTCAAGTTCCCCACAGCTCTAGAACATTACTAAAATCAAGTTTGCCATAGGCCTATAATTCCAGTGGCTTGGAAGGCTGAGGCAGGAGGACTACAAGTTCAAAACTAGCCTCAGCAATTTAGTGAGGCCCTAAAGCAATTTAAGAGTCCCGGTCTCAAAAATTTAAAAAAGGGGCTGCAGATGTAGCTCGGGGATCAAGTGCCCTTGGGTTTAATCCCTGGTTACTGATCCCCCTCCCTCCACTAAAAAAAAAAATTCCCTGTCTCAATTTTTTTTTTTTTTTGCTAGGAATGTAGCTCAGTATTAAATTACTCCTGGGTTCAATCCCTAGCACGTGTGTGTGTGTGTGTGTGTGTGTGTGCGCGCGCGCGCAAACACAAACACAGCTAAAGTCACCTTAGGTGTTTTTTGAGTATTTGATACCTAAATTTCGGGCTGGGGATGTGGCTCAAGCGGTAGCGCGCTCGCCTGGCATGCGTGTGGCCCGGGTTCGATCCTCAGCACCACATACAAACAAAGATGTTGTGTCCGCTGAAAACTAGAAAATAAATATTAAAATTCTCTCTCTCAAAAAAAAAAAAAAAACAATTTTCATGATACCTAAATTTTCCTTTTATATGACAAAAATTGTAAGTTGTCCACAGCATTTGTTGTAGGAAAGCGTCTCGAAGATGATCAGTTGTCAAAATAGGAGGCTAAGTTTGATGTGGCATTGAGATTATAGAAGCAAAAACTTTTTCACAAGCACAAAAAATATCAATTTTGCACATTATCTGGGCACTGATTTTACCCAACAAAAGCAATTGACTGCTTAAATGGTGAAGAGTTTGTGATTTTTTTCACTGATTTTCTGTATGGTACAATACCGCTGGTTACTGGTGATGAGTTCTGCTCCTCACATGTTCAAAGTATAACATTAGAGAAGCATGCTGAGCCAAGCATATAAAGCAGTGTTGATTTAAAAAGGGGTAACATAGACTTCTCCCAGGAGGGAGAAGGGGGCCATAGCTGGTATCCTGGTATCCCAAGAAGCGAGGCTCTTCTGCCTTTTTATAGGTGTTAGGCTTCCTTTGTTCTCCTGCTCTCTTCCCCTTATCTCTCTCCTTCCTGCATACATATGTGACTAGGCCCAGAAGATGCTTGGAGGGATGGCCAAAAGATGAGAAGCAGATGGACGGGGGAAGGGCTGGATGGAGCAGCCCAGGACACATTTAATTAATAACTTTATAGGGAGGAACAATTCCTGGGACAGGTTGACCTAGCAACAGGTTTGAGCAGGGGCAAGTTATCTAGATAAGGGTGAGGGAAGGCCTTTGAAGGAATTAATATTTCAATTTCTCCATTCTCTGGATCTGACTCTTGCCTATCTGCCTAATTCTGGTTTCAGTATGTAAAAATCCTAGAGAATATTACAGATAATTTGGTTTTAGTTTCATTAAAATTATTAGCTGGGTGTGGTGGCACTTGCTGATGGTCCTAGCTACTGATGCAGGAGGATCAACTGAACCCAGGAGTTTAAGGCCAGCCTGAATGAGACTCAGTTTCAAAATAAAATTATTTACATTAGTAACCTTTTCTGCTGAACTGAGCACTGAGGTGATGCCAAAGCAAGCTTCTGGCCAGAGTTATAATTCTTGAAATGGGGAACTCTTCAGAACAAGGGTCATAACCAACAACCTGTGTGTCATAAGATGACCTTCCTGATATTTTAGATTGGTAGTATTAGTTCCTTTGTCATCATGGAAAGTTGCAGAAATAAATCCCTCTGAGAATTAAACTTGCATTCTGCAGTTATAACCAGTATCCTGATGGGAGTGAACAGCATGAGTTTCTATGATGGGTAGTAGAGAGGATGCTCTCATATCAGAGAAGAGGGAGGAATAACACCCCTCACCCAGCCTTTTATTTTCCTGAAGGGTTTTCTTTTTGATTTTTATAGAGGAGGAAAAGTTTGAGGGCTCACAGTTTCAGAGGTCTAAGTCCACAGAAGGCTGGCTCCATTCCTCAGGGCTTCAGGTGAGGCAGAACAACATGGCAGAAGAGTGGCAGAGGAAAGCAGCTCACATCATGATCAGAAAGCAGAGACTCCACTCATCAGATATAAATATATACCTAAAGCCACACCCCCATTCCCACCTCCTGAGGCCACACCCTACCATTTCAGTTACCACTCAGTTAATCCCTATCAGGGGATTAAATCACTGATTGGGTTAAGACTCTTACAATAATTTCTCCTCTGAACCTTCTTCCATTGTCTCACGTGAACGTTTGGGGGACAACTCACATCCAAAACAAAACACCTTCGTTCTAAAAGTCTCATGCCAGTTTGAGATGTTCTCAGAAATAATTTCTTCCTGAAATATTTTATCTGTTTTTTTCATAACTCTGTTCTATTCCCTTTTTACTTCCAAAACCATATGTGATCTTTTACCTATCATTGTTTAGGTGGCATCAAAGTCGTTTCCATAATTTGCAAGTCTCTGGGAATTTCCATGAGACTTGCAAACTAGAATTGAAGTATAACTCAAATATATTGCTCTGAGTACCAATTTAGAAGTGGAAAATGATTT